CATATTTTAGCAACTGTTATAGCAACTGTTATTAAAGCGTTTATTATGAAAAATGCTTATTGAAAAGAATTTGTGGTTTGTTCATACAATATTTATTCGATCAATTTCAAACATGGCTTAGTACCTACATGGAGGATCAAATACATACTATTTCAGTAAGAGCCATTTTGTAATCCCTTTACGTGTTATTTGGGTATCGTTGGCAGTCATGTTATTCGAAGGTATTCATGTCCTCAATAAATCTAAAGTTTTATACCAATCATTACATCATAAGAGTAATGCTAGGTCACGCTAAATGGCTCGACTGAATTGTCTTTGTTTTCTTTTGTTTGTAATTAAATTTATAGTAGACATAAGCTAACGAAACAGTAATAATGTTATTTGTATATTTGTAAACGCAACCAACGCATAGGAGAAAATACTAGTGTCAGGCAACGTTTTCAAAAAATAATTGAAACACACTCGTAAACGAACAGACGGATCACCTGTTGGCGAGTAATTGGCGCCGCCCATGGACACCTGAAACACCAGAGGTGTTACAGGTGCGTTATCGGCCCTTTGTGGATTAGTAATTTAAGTATTGTTGGGGATTCAGGGAAAATAATTATAATAAATTATATTAACATAATAGGTTATTGCTAAATCTGAGAATGCAAGTTCAATGATTTTATAGCATTTCTTAAAAAGCTTAAAAAAATAGAACAGTAACCAAAATAAATGGCTGCCAATAAAATTTATTTAATTTTGTTGTACTTAAGACTACTCAGTCAATATGACTGTAAGTTATTAAAGCAACAGATTTAAACAAATTTTCCCTTCGTCACACTTAAAGTGATTTATTACGATAAATGTGTTATACCTAAAGATAGGTAAGTAGTCAAACAATACTATATCTTGTACCCATTTAAAAAGGGTCTGATTTTAATTATGAACCCTCATGAATCAAGAGGAACGTCCTGCCGACAACCAAGTAGAGGATACGGTGAGACATTAGTATAGAAAATATTTAGTAGTTATATTTATATGACTGTATTTTATTGTTTTTAGTTTCGGTTATTATTGTATTATAATTATATATTTTGTTATGCTTTAAACTGTCAAACACCAAGCGGTCACCGATGACCGCAACCTATTGTTCTTTAATTGTGTCTATAATGACGGTACTCAACGAGTTAATGATTTTTGTATAGGTTTTTATATAGGTATCTGTATTTTTATTTCTATTTTAATAATCCTTGTTTTCGTGTGCCAATGGCCAAAAAAAATGCATTTACTTTCTTTCTTTCTTTCTGTAGGAATCAATTTGCAGCATGCCGTATGCAGCTCGTCCCGCCACACAACACTCGACATAATTATGTTCCGCTCTTCCACTAATTTCTCGTCGAGTAAACATCTCCTAAAGATGCTCCGTGTAGGAGCGAAACGTATGTATGTCGAGTGTTATTCTAGTGGTATGTTGCTTGCCCTACTCCATGTGCATTTATTTGAAAGCGAGTATAGTATTGCGGCAACAATACATAATTGGAACAGCAGTATAAGTTAATTTTATTTTATTTACAGCATTGTGTGCAATAAATGACAACAGGCACGTCTCAATTAACATACTCCATATTTGTAACTAGCTACTTCCTCGCGGTTTCAAACGCTCTGCTCAGCTCGTATCTGTCGTAGCGTGATGTTTTGTAGCCTATAGCCATCCCCGATAAATGTGCTATCCAACACAAAAATAATTATTCAAATCAGACTTGTATTAACGGAGATTAGCGCGTTCAAACAAACAAACAAAAAAACAAACTCTTCCGTTTTATATAATAGTATAAGATATAAGATTATTGAAAATGATATCATGTTGCTCTAATGTCTCTTTAGGGAATAAACATTATCTAGGGCAAATCCTAATAATATACAAAACTAAAGAAACTTTTAGAAAATCTACGAGACAACTTGTGAAGTTTTGAAGTCGACCGGGAATTCACAGTCGTCTAAACTTAGGTATTTACAACGTCTGAATAGTTCGTTTGTTAAAATTTTTAAGTATTAGATGGATGGATCCATAAACAAGTAGAAATGCATCAAGATTATTTAAATATCCATAGGTCAAGGGGCCCAATACCCCTACCCCCGTCCCCCTCTCCCGCGAATCCCCAATAATCCTCTAATTGCTAATTTCCAAAAGGCCGATAAGGCACGTATAACACCTCTTCAAGCGTCCATGGGCGACACCGATTGCTTACTATCAAGTGATCTGTCTGCTCGTTTACCAGTTTATTCCACCAAAAGGTCATGTCCAAGAAAATGGATCGAGATGACTTCTAAAAACTGCCTCGTTGGCCGAGTGGTCGCAAGTGCCGAGCAATTAATGTCGGGTTCGATTCCCGGGTCTGACTCCCGAAATTCTCAGTAGTAGCACAGAGTCTGGAATTGTGCCCGGTATATGGCAATAGGCTCACGTGCTCAATATTACATGGGATTCATAACATAAATAGTGAAAAGCGGGTGTTACGTTGTACAGTGGCATAATGTACACCTCTCTGCCAACCCCTTCGGGGATAAAAGGCGTGATTTTATGCATGTATGTTTGTTGACTTCTAAAAACTGGAAAATTTGTAGTTATCAAACCATCGCTCTCTTTAAATAACTAACTAAGGACCATTCGCTTTCTTCATCATTACAGATCCGTTTATATATAATAATGTTTATTTTATTTATTTTCATTATGTAACTAGCTTCTGCTAGCGACTTCATACGCGCAGTCCCGTTTACTCCCGTTCCCGTAGGATTTACAGGATCTTTTCTGTCTTAAGAACCTTCTCCTAATAATAACAAATACAACAAAAAAGAATTATTGAAATCGCTCCAGCCACGCGTGATGCTGTGACCAAGGGAAAAAGAGATTCATTTTTAAATATGTATATAGATAATATTAAAATTAAATATACATTAATTTGTAATACAGCTGTTATTATGTTTTAGTTAAAGTTTGTTTTCATTTGTCTTATTGTCTGTAAAATTGTCTTTTATTACACACTGAATCTTATGTTTTAATTACTTTTCCTGTCTCAGGTCTACTGAAAGAAATTCCTAAAGGAATAAGTAGCACATATGTACCTACTTATAATGTATAAATTTGTTGTCCTCTGTGCTGTTATCAATAGTCAAAGGTTGACTGTGAGCTATAAGGTAAGTAATGACCACTACATGAGTAGCAATTACTTACTGTCATGTGTGTGTCGTCACGTCTGAATTAAGAACTCACTACTGACAATGTTCAGAACTCCAGATTGAGCAATTTGAGAATATGAGTTAAGGTACTGTTACTGTTATATACAATCATGCTCTGAAATAGCATGTTAAATGGTGCATTGAGCAAGCTCAAAAATATTCAAACATCGAACGCTTGTCGATTTGCAGACATGCCTGAAATGAGTATTCTAATTTTGAGCAATATTCTATTAAGTGACACGTGCTCAATGGGAACATCGTGTTTGTGTCACCAGATGGCACTAGTGTGAACCTATAGTTTTTCGTCCAATAAAAAGACAGAAAGAAAGAAAAATAATGTATTTGCCATTAGCCATGATACACCAAATACACAAAAATATAACATAACAATAAAAACCACAATAAAAACAACAACAAAAATAAAAACAAAAAGGTGGCAACATGCTCATGACAAAAAGGATTGCCAGCTCAAAATGAGCTGGACACAGTAAGTACCCAACACATATTTTCAGTTGCCACCTTTGCAGTGGCGCACGCACGGAAGCAACGAAAAATATTTGAAAGGAAAATAATACTATTTCATAATACCCGTCATTCTGTTAAAATAAGAAAAGAAAAGGAAGAAAGTTAAAAATAAATATAAATAGGGAATTAGTTATTGTTCAATACTTGACAGCTGCTGTGATTGGACAAAAAATCCCATTCTGAATTTGCGCCATCGAGTGAGCCAAAAGGAGGTATTTAAACATGCTTTCGTGCTTAAAATTACCTCTAGCATGTGTAAGACCTTTGGTACCGTAGGCTTTACGATTGACTATCAAAATAAAAGCGAGTTAGTAGGCTCAAGAGTAAACTCAGCAAATGGGTGCTTATTGCCAATAAAAGTTAGATTGGTCACATTCTGTCACGATAACTAATCATGGATTTGGTTATACAATATCCCACTGTTCAAACAGTTCAAGGTTAGCTCTTAGTCTCAGTCACATTAGGCATTTGGTGACGTCATATCCCATTAGAAACACACGTAATAAAAACTACCCACTTATGTAATTAAGAACGATGAAATACAACGCACTTTTTCCAAATCTCGTTCATTCTCTGCCACGTTGGCCGAGTGGTCGCAAGTGCGAGTGCCGGGCAAGGGGTATCCGGTTCGATTCCCGGGTCGGGCAAAGTATTACTAGGTTTTTGAAAAAAACCTCAGTAGTTGCACGAAGTATGGAAATGTGCCTGATATATGGCGATAGGCTCACCCTCTATTACACGGGACTCATGTCATAAATTAATAGTGAAAAATCGGTGTTACGTTGTACAGTGGCATTAAGTGCCATAAATGTGCGATAAAAAGCATGATACTAGGTATGTTATGTTCGTTCAATCTCGTACAATTGAGAGTTATCTAAAGTTGGAAAACAAACCTAATAACAAATGCATTTTGTTCAGTTCACATGCACCAATGCAGTCTATTCGACCAGCGAGGTACTTGGTATATAATAAAATTATATTATAGGTATTATATGGCTACCTCAACCAAAAGTGACATCTTAATATCAGTTCTTATTTATTACTTACTAAATGATTTATTATTTCCCGTAATGGATAGCTTTGCTGATATTATTGCTTACACTGCATCGTAGTACCATTGAGGTTCGACTGTCGTTGTCGGACTACCTAGTAGTGATCGTTCACTATAATCATTTCGATGAGGAAATATAGTGGTTACTTTCAAGTAGTGCTAGAAATTAATACAGTATAATAATTTTATAATTAAAACTTACCTAAATATCCGAAAAGACTTGATGAGGCTGATAAACGCCTGCTTGAACTTTCTATTCATGAAGCAGTAGGTGATTGGATTGCAGCAAGATGAGCAGTATGCCAGGAGTTGCAGTGAGACCACACCTTTAGGTCCTATGTACTGGTACAGCTCGTCGGGGTAGAACAGGTAAATCTGGAAGGAATCAAGAAGAAAATCTATTTTAGAAACTAATATTTTTTGTTTACCCTGTCCAAAAGGATATCCTATATCATACTCTTGTGTTCTCTTTCTGCTGTCTCTATTTGATATAGAATGAACAGACATTTTAAGATTATATATTGTTAGGTTAGGGGACTTAAACTGTCAAACACCAAGCGGTCACCGGTGACCGCGACCTATTGTTCTTTAATTGTGTCTATAAAACCGGTACTCGACGAGTTAAAAACGAGTTTCATATCATCAGCCTAGACCAGCCACTCACTCTCACTCTTCACATCTCTCACTCTCACTCTTCTCTTCTCAATCTCACTCTTGAGACGAGTGAGATTATTAACTTCTTATCTGCCGTATATGAGACACAATTAGAAAACATATTGTGTCTCGCGTGACTGTGCGTTACCACGGATTTATCACCACGGTTATTAAAAGAAGTTAAGGCACTTTAAATATAGAAATAACAGGCCTCAAATTTAGTATCCATGGTCACACACGTGCCACAACAGTAGTCAGATACCACATTCTCACTTCTCTACGGAAACCGGATAAAAGTTATATTTAAATAGGAACAGAATACAGGAAGGGTCGAGGCTCATTGTTCCGTAAAGATAAAAGATAATCCGAGCAAACTTGTGTGTTCAAAGATGTCAGTTTGTAGGTGTTACAAAGTGCCCGCATTTGTGGAGTAACCAGGGAACCATTTCACAAGTTTATATAGTTTGTTGGATATTCAATTCTTTGTACATTATTTTGTGTTACTATTTCCTTGGTGGTTTCTGGTATTAGTATTTGACTAAATACCAGACAGATTTTGGCTAAAGTAGGCTTTAGCCAAAACCTATTCTATAAACTGGTTGGTGACTTTTTATGTTTATCTTGAACAACAGATATTTCTGACATGTGATATTTAAACTGACAGTAAGTTTATCTTATTTTCAAAGCAATAATGGAACAAAAGTGATCAACACAAACACAGTTTGGATTTTAGAGCTGTTGACTGATACGAAGAACGATTGCTTACCATCAGGTGATCCGTCTGCTCGTTTACCGGCTTATACCATAAAAAAAATAGTGTTGTGAACATTTGAACGTTGTATAATCAAATGAAGGAAACATCTATTAGATTAAAATATCGCTAGGAATATAACTCAAAAAACAAACAGTTTATTATTTGCGAATAGAAAACACGTGTCAAAAATAAACAATGAAAATATCCTGTTTACCAAAAGGAACAAAGAAGGCAGTAGATGATATTTTCCTCGACAATAATCTTTACGAGGGTTTCTTTTTTAATAAATTAACTAATGGATCGTAGTTTCAGTAAACACGTTATATTTAACAATCTAAATTCAACTTTAATTTCTCTTTCTTTCAGCACGCATAGCCCCACGGAAAAATTGAAGTCTATGTCGTCGAACTAATAGATAGTTATAACTTTACCTACACAGATACTTTTACACAGAAACATCCATTTATTTTAATCACATAAATACATATTCTGGATAACAAACAGCTTATCGCTTATCTTATGTACATAATTATATCCATATTTAATATTATCATTTTAAAAATCTCAGTAGTAGCACGGAGTCTGGAAAAATGTGCCCGGTATATGGCAATAGGCTCACCCCCTATTACATGGGACTCATAACATGAATAGTGAAAAGTGGGTGTTACACTGTACAGTGGCATTAAGTGCCGAAATGTGCACCTCTGTCAACCCCTTCGGGGATAAAAAGGCGTGATGTTATGTTATGTTTAATATTATCAATGCAAAAGTGTGTGTGTCTGTTGTTTGTCAGTCTTTCACGGCAAAATAAAGCGAAGAATTAATGTGTTTTTTAAATGAAGATAGTTGGAAGAATGACGAGTGACATAGGCTAATTTTTGTCTCTTGTTAAGCCCGCACCTTCCGGAAATGTGGGCTGGAACTTCTCAATTTTCAAGGCAGAAAGCTAAAAATTGCTATACGGGCTATATGTGACTAATTAAAAATCATGCATAAACATGCATTGTTATTTTTTACTTTTAATCTGCCTTTAAGCCCTAATAACCTAAAGCCTAGTACCTGCAATAAAATTCCAACCAAAAGTAAGGAATATGTAACAGAAAAGTTAACTCCCAAATACGAATTTAACATGTCATTAAAAATTTGAAAATTGGAAATGGACTTCGACTAAAGAAGAGGAAAGGTCGAGATAGGTAGAAAATCCTATGAGTCTTCCCATGACTCTTTAGCAACTTGTTAGTAGCTTTCAGAGCTACTTTCAATTTAATCCAGTTAAAATAAAGTCGTAATTGGATTGAAGGCATAAATAAAAATGTTCATCTGGATTGTTTTACTTGTTTAAAATCTAGACCATTGTACAAATAGTTTGAATAGAAACAGGGATTAAGTTGTTTAAGCACAGTCTTTGATTCAAAGCACATTCAAAGACTTTTTAAGTCAATTACTACCAGTTAGTAGAACAAACATCCCGAGCATATTTAAAATGTTCTTTTTCTTAGTCATATGCAAATAAAAGTGTAAACAAAGTCCAGTTTTATAATATAAACAGAGTTTCAATTTTACAGTCACTGGTTTGCAAAGAAGTAGGATGAATAATCATAAAGTTGCTTCTGACTGCCTCGTTGGCCGAATGGTCGCAAATGTTACTGCCGGGCATGGAGACTCGATTCTAGGGCCGGGCAAATTCTCCGTAGTAGCACGGAGTCTGGAATTGGGCCCGGTATATGGCAATAGGCTCACCCCCTATTACTTGGGACTCAACATATAAATAGTGAGAAATTGGGTGTTACAATTGTATAGTGGCATAATGTTCTGTCTGCCTACCCCTTCGTGGATAAAAGGCGTGATATTGGTTATGAAGCGAAGAGACAAGCATTTATGTAGTATTCCTATTTCTAAAATTGTACAGAGCCAAATATTGTGTACTGGTGTTTTGTAATTAGTTTAATTTCCTGTTCAGTTATAGACCAGCAACTATTGGTAGGAAAATACATCTCTGGTTACCTCTTATGCCAATAGCTAGTGTTATGATTACATACACGTAATTTTCATATCTATTTATTTATTTAATACTACTGTATATAATAGTACAAGGCGGACTTAATGCCGAGGGCATTATCTGCGAGTCTACCTTAGGGTGGTAGAGTAAAGACATGACGTGGCAGGTGCATAAGCTGCAATGCAAAGTGAATATTAATTAACTCGTCGAGTACCGTATTTATAGACACAATTAAAGAACAATAGGTTGCGGTCACCGGTGACCGCATGGTGTTTGACAGTTTAAGCTAAGATACATATTTCATGTAACTATAGAAAACAAATATAAATAAAGATGTATACTTCAACATATATGTAATATAATTATACAACTCGTACATATACATGCTACTCAAAATATACATCATCACACATGATAAAAGTTATATCAATTATCACTCACTGAAATTTTTTGAGTTTAACTGTTAGGTACAAGTGCAGCACAAAAGCTAGTTTAGATTGCAAATAAAGTATATTATAAAAACTCTAACATTGATTAAACAATTTAATATTGGTCAATCGTAACTAAACTTAAACAAAAAACATAGACCTTTAACTTTATCCAACTCATGGCAATCGAAAATCACTTAACGACTTGCATTGCACGAAATAATTCAATCAAAAGTTCTTAGTAAAATGTCTGAACTCAATTTTCTTGCGATAGTAATCTCGACAAGTATTGATTCGTAAAGTCCAGTGCTTGGTTAATGTCAAACACTTTGGTATTTAATGGTTGTTGCCCTTTAATATTTTACCTTACTTTATATAAATTGAAAGGCTATAGGGCTCCTCCAGATATTTGGAGCTATTTATATATAAATATAAAATTTTGGTTTTTCTAGGAGATAAAGTTTTAAATAAAGTGTAATAATGTTTAAGGCCCTTTTCCAATTTATAATTGTGCGGTTGGTCTCTATCTCTGGTGGCCTGGTGGTAAGCAATATTACAGTCGACGATAGAACTCGTCTGTCTATAAGCAACCTATTACTTCTTTTGTATAGACATCTAGATTGCACTCTCAAAAGAGATGTCTTACGTGAATAAAATCTCAATAGAGACTTGGGACTTTGATATTCACAATTACTCTTACAAATTCTAAACGGTTCCGAAAGTATTAAAGCGTTAAACCTATAATATATGTACGTTTTCACACGTTCCGGTTGCCGGGTAGCCACCGGCACAGTGTATAGCCATGTACTGTAGCGTTCACACATACTTGCCTAATTTGTATCCAAATTGTCATGCACCGCCAGTTACCCGGCGCCGGCTACCCGGCATCCGAAATGTGTGAAAAGGCATTAAAGTTAACGACACCGTTATACAGCTAATGATTTAAAATAACATTATGCACTTAATTCCTTCTATCGTTTGGTGCTTTAAAGGAATTTTTATGACCCATCAAAAAGTATTTATTGCGGAAAATTTAAGGACCAATGTTTTTTACTGGCGTTTGGTATTAAGAGTTGTTTGTTGCCATTCTTACTTGAAGTTAGACTTCATACAAAAGATAAATGTTATTATTACAATTGGATGTACTTATTCATGTTATAATTATCGTGAGATACTTATACTAAATTAATTATTATATTGTCAGTTTACGTGTGTGTACGTGTGTAAGAAAATATCTAAACATAATAATAAAATCGTAGGAAAGTCAAAACTGTACACCGAAGATTAAAAAAAAAATACTTGGGCTATGATCTACAATCGATACCGAAGCCAAAAATATGTTTTTTAGAATTTTTCTCTTTGTCTGTACGTATGTGTGAGATAAACCCAAAAAGTGCTGCATGGATTTACTTAAAATTTTGCATGAATATTACTAACAGGTCGGGTCAACATTTAGGCTATTATTACGATATCACCTACGGGGGAGGATCTATGAATAACTATCCAAAGTAAGTATTCCACGCGGACGAAGTCGCGGACA